TATATATATATATATGTTTCATAAAAACGTATGCCCGATAAACACTTTTATATCACTGATAAATATATATTTTTTGGTTTGCTGACTCAGTTTGATGACCTTGTGAGTCAGGAAGCTCTACTACATAGTTTTTAACATATCTCAGCGTTTTTGTGATACAAACATCCGCAATGTTTCACTTTTTTTAAATTGCTTTAAAACTTTTAATGATGACGGAAGTGCGTGCTTATTTTTTTTCTTCAAATGATTTTTAAAAAAAGTGTAAAGCAAGTGTTTAAAAATAGATATTTAGTATCCATCAGAATTTTGAAATTAGGATAGTTTAGTCACATCACCTAAAATATTAGCCATCCAATGTAAATTATATAACTAGATGGAAAAAAAATTTGAATTAATACGTACTTAAGTACACTTGAAATTGTATTTCACATTAAATAACTTTTGATCTCATTATGGACATTTCGCAAACTAAAGTACAACTTTAGTGTTTCGAATGGCACACTTCATATTAACGTAATAGTGCAGAATATATGCCATAAATAAAAAAAAACGTATTTTCTCTAAATAAACATAATTTTTGACATAATGGGTTTACGACCCTACAATAAAGAAGCCCCAATCTTAATTACTTATTATTATGTTGAATAATTATCAGGTTGAATAATTATTATGTTGAATAATTATTATGTTATTATGTCCAATCTTTATTCTGTCGAGGTTTAAACTTAAAAGTATTATTTTAAATTTTTGAGTTTTCCTCATATCTTCGTCTTACCAGAATGAATAAATAATTGGAAAAAAACACCAAATGAATATTTTTTTTTTACATTATTTGCAAAATTAGATATCCCAAACGTTTTAGAAAATATTTAGTTCTTAATTATTAAGTATTTTTAATTTGTATTGCTTTATTTAGTAAGAATTGAAAAATGTTTTGAGTTGCAGGGTACAAAAGTTTTTACAGATTCTTAAATAATGTTTATATGTCAAAAAGTTATTTGTACCGATACGAAAGTTTAAAAGAAAGATTTTTTCCATTCCATAGTATTTTTTATGCGCTGACCACGTAAGAAAACGAATCACTTCCACTCCTTCAAAAACAAAAACAAATATGCATGTCCCCGAATCAGGGAAATTCCTTGAAGCATTCTATTTCATATTTTTTTAGGAATATAGATATTATTTTGAAATATAAATGGAACATTTTTGTGTTGAATGTGTGCTTCTGTTTTCTTTTCTGATTTCTTTTGCTGTCTCCATGATTTATAAAAAAACAAGTCTATTATGCAGCACAAAACAAAACATTGAAATTAAAAAAGTTAAGTTCAACTTAAAATTAAGCTCCAAAAAATTGAATTCCAAAACATCAATCCAACAAATTGTGTTCCAGTTAAATAAAAATGTGCAATTAAAATTAATCATAGAAGCAGTTCAATAAGTGCCATAAATGCCTCTTTTTCATTCCTAAAACGCGTTATTCAATACCTAAAATGTCCACATTTCTGCAACCATCATTGGAACATTTCTGATATGTTTAAAATATTTCAAAAATATTTAAGATTTTGACATGCAAGAACTTTATCATTATCAAGCAGACTAATTTTTTACGAGTTTACAAGACCACACATTAGAAACAGTTTTGGGACTATATGATATTTTTTACAATATTTTTAACTCGCCTGATTTCTACAATTGATGTCATGTTTTCATTACATCTCCTTGGTATTATTATTGCATTTTCACAAATCGATATTATGTTTGGCAGAAATAAATTATTATTATAATTAATATAGTAAAAATTAAATTGGTACATATAAATTTGTTTAGGTTCAGGATTTAACAAGAAATTGCGTGCAAAGAGTCCTTCCTTCATCTCATGGTGACTTAAAATATTTTACGAAAATAGCTTGCACTGATGGAACTCTTTTTGATAAAGTAAGATGTATATTTTTTTAATTATTCTCAGTAATAGTATTTCACTATTAATTATATAAATTTATAGCACCAAAAGCCAATTAAGATATGAAGGTAGACATTATTTAGTAACATATGTTGTGATATCATATGAAGTAATATCTATATTTTTACAGGCTGATGATTGTTATCACGAGCATGAAATATTTAAAAAAGAAGTAAGTAATATTTAGTTAAATAAATGTATAATCAATAAAGTTGCCAAAGCTTTGGCTGCCAATTTCATTACAAACACGAAATCGTGACTTGGTATTGTGCTAAATGGTAATTTCATAAATTAATAATAATATACTTAACAAAAAACGTCACTGGATCTAAAACTTTTAACTTATATTTGTGAACAAATCATAGCAGTTTAAAAAAATCAATATTCACGAGTTAATAACTTAAACTCTTAGGTAATTCTAACAGGAAAAAAATAGGTATATTAAAAAATGCAAACAACAATTTTTATATTGATACTAGTGTCTCTTGCGTCAAAAATCAAAAACTGTCAGAGCTTGAATTCATACAAATGTTACACAATGAATGAATTTTATAGTATACCAGATGCTCCCAGTCATAACGTATATAACATAACCTCACATAACCTATACATAACCTCAATATAACCTATGTTAAGTAAGGGCCAAATCACTCTGTAAAAAAGCAAAACATATAAATTTTCATAAGACAAAAAATAACTAACATTGCTTTAAAAATAAAATCCAACTAATGAATCACTATTATGTTTCTGTCACAATTATCTTCACAAACATAAACAAGTTGTAATGTTATTGCGGCAACCCAATATTACAGCTATATTCTTTATTCTGCACTTTTGACATCAAAAATGCTTTATAAAAAAATATCAATACAGTATATATATTTTTCAACCTGAATTTCATATTTATGATAACTATATTTTGTTTTTCATAAAGGAAATATCTATGAACAGTCTCGCTTCTAAAAATGATTTACTCGTGCTGGAATTGTTGGGGGGAAATTCAGCATAAATTTGTTTTTTAGATGTATGTAAGTTTTTTGTCAGAAGCTGGAAGTTTTTTTTTTATAAATTTTGTCTACTTATTTTTAAATGGCAAAAGTACAACGCACTTACCTATGACTCATACGTTGCCAACCTCGATAAAAAAATACTTTCTATTTTGGCGTAACGAAGGACAAATATGTATATAGATAGATAAGAGGATTGGGAGTTAAAAAATTTTAATTTCCTTTTTTATATCTTAAACGTTTTGAAAGAAAGATAATAAATTCAATTTCAGCGAGCAATAATTCCTCTTTTGTCAAGCTTAACAAATAAATAAGACGAAATTTAAGAGAAGATTATTTTTCATAATATTTTTTAAAATATAACTTTTTTGTAATTTGCAAATTAATACAAATTTTACAAAACCTATCTCCAACTGAAGACTAAAATTCCTTACATTAAATTAAGACAATTCTACATAGTTAACATTTTAATTCGTTGGCTTACTTAATTTCAAAAATATTAAGTTATAATGCAATTTGTTTTTCTTAAATAAATAAAAATACAAAATACTTAAACTAAATAATAATTAAATATACAGAAAAATTTAAAAAAAATTTTGTTCAAATTTTACATTAAAATTTACGAAAGATTAAGTACAGTAAAGAGTAAAATATAATGTGAAACAAAAAGTAAAATAGAAATAGAGTAAAAGTAACAAGTATAGTAAAAAGTGAAGTTAAGCGTAATGCAAAAAATAAAGTAAAGAGTGGAACTTAAAGTAAAACGTAAAATATCAAATAAGGAGTAAATAAAAATAAAGACTAAATAAAAATAAAGATTAAAGTATAATGTAAAGTTTAAAGTAGATAATTTATAAAATATGAAGTGTAAAGTAAATGTTAGGTAGGGTATGAAATAGAGTAAAAAAATGTAAATTATAGTAAATAAACATTAAATGTTAATTCAATCCAAAGAAAGAAGAAAATATTTGTTCAAACAAAGGAAAAAAATAGATACTTATTTAATCAAATCCATGAGGGGTATTTTTCTCACCCTATCTCAGTAAAGGAGGAAATATTGTTCACCCTATAATGCTTAATAAAGCCGACCGGTCTGTGTAGGGGGCAGGGAACTGTCCTTGCAACAGAAAGGTTCTTGGTTCGAATCCCGGCAATGCATGGATGTTCTTTTTCCCTTCTCTGTCTTCACTGTGGGACTCACTATGTTGGCCCACCTTATATGGTGCCCCTGAAAGAGAGGCCAACAAAATCGTCCTGTATATGCCTGAATTAGCGGATGTTAACACAGGTGGGCATTGGAAAAAAATTTTAAAATAATAATTCTTGATAAAACAAGAACAAGTGTACAAAGTGTATTTCTTAAAATAAATGAAAATTCCTAATAATCTCTTTTAACAGTGTAAATATTTGAAAATTTCGTAAAACCGGCTATTTTTAAATTTAAACGATTCAGCAATTTAAAAATAATTATTTAAGAGAGCAGTTACCATTAATGCTAAACGAAAAAGCTAAGCCTAACTTTGGGGTGAGTTTTTAGATTTGGCAAGTTTTACTTCTACCGTTTAGGGAGTCTCTTATCAAGAATCCAGTAACATACAGAGATTAGTGCCTTTAACAAATAAAATCATTTCTCATTTATAACTTTTTGTTCTATCACACATTCTATATTCCTTAGTTTAAATATTTTTTTCGAGTTCAGTTGATTATATTTTAAATGCAAACAATCGCTCATTTTATTAATATAAACATATTAAAAAATGTTCTTGCCTAAAATTATAATAATTAAATATTTTAGAAATAAATTGTTTTTTTTTTTTTGTTTTTTTTTGTTGAGCAATTTCGATCTTTACGAGAAAATTACAAAGTTAAATAAGAAGTCACCACTGGATTTGATGAGTGAAGTCTGCTAATATACTAAAAAATCTATCATTTTATTTCGTAATATCTGTTTTTAGTGAGCCTTAATCGTGAGATTCAACATTACTTGACATTAGTATTATATCATAAAACTTGCTGTAGGAAGTAAAACGTCAGCAATTTTCTTATCATATTTATAAATATTAACAAAATTTGTCAAAAATGACCAGAAAACTAAAGGTTTGAGCATGTTGCCATTTAAGTCCGAGATGCGATACAAAAAAGTACCAAATAAATGGTTTAAATAACGTATGTTTTGCTATTATTACCAAAATTAGAGGATGTGTTTACCAGAAATGTCATTACCACACAGAACCGTAATTTTACCAGATTTATTTTGTGACTCAGTGTAAATGTTGTACAAAAAAACTATAATTATCATTTTTCTTTCGTTCAACAACTATCCTATCAGTTAATAATAATTGTCGAAATTATAGATGTAGATGAGAAATGTTCATTTTTATTGAAAACTTTATCCACTTTTCACCACCAGTATATAAAGATCGTCGACATTTTCGTAATTGAGCATGAGTTAATGATGATTAAGAGAGAAAAAAAGAATTTTCGAAATAATTATCCTTTAGCTGATGGCTCATATGCACAAAACAGAAGTGATAATTGTAACAAAATATAGCTTCAAAATTTCCAGCCAAGGCAAGCAGAGTGTATATTAGCTGGCATAAATTAGAAATAATGATTTTTCACAGATATTTTAGATGTTCACCATAACTTCCATCGTTGCCATAAATAGAGTTAAAAATAGTTAGTTAAAAGTTAAAAATAATAAAGATAATTTAAAAATAGTTTTGTTTAATGGAAATTAATGTTACTTTTTTCCAGGTGGCAACAAACAAAGCTGCAATTGTAAGTATATCTCAGATTTATGCAATTGAGAAATTCTCATTATAATTCTCATTATCATATCGATCAGAAAATGTCTAAAAAAATATTAAATTGATGCTACAAGCAATTGGTAGAAACAATTTTTAAATTTGATTCACAAGTAAATTTCAGAATATCAATGTGCATTTTCAAATCTGAATTAACGTTTAAAATTTATAACACTTATTCACATTCTAAAATTATTAGAATTCATTAGAATCTATCAAACTTGTTTTCTCAAGTTAAATATATATAAATGAACCAGTTCAATGTGGTTGACATGTATACAGATGGGACAAAATCTCTTTTGCGATGTATTTGACGTGCATACAGATAATTTTCAATAAATTAAAATAAATTACCACAGACTGCCATAACTCAAAATTGCTATAAAACAGAACAAGTGTATTATTTGGTGGTATGTATCCTTTATATTATCAATGGAACTGCTAAATATTTTACAATGCGCTAAATATTTTACAATTATCACAGCTCGAAACCAACTATTTTTAATTATAAACTATTCATCATTATTTTCTTTATATTAGATTAAAAAACAGCTCTGTTAATACGGGAATTGAAGAATTATTAGAAAGTTTTTCACAAAATTTAAAATCGAAGCATTTGCTTTGCATCCAGTGTGCATACACGGCAATGCTTGATTGTAATTTTCCGTACCCTGTGAAAGATTTCCAAAATTAATGTCATTCGCTGAACTAGTTAAAAAATTTAAATTATAACTTTTTAGATATTTAATTGAGAGACTTTACTCATTATAAATGTCGTCTTAAAGGTAAAATCAGTAAACAATCCATTCTTAAATTTTAATTTTTTTTAACATTGTAAAATAATGAAAGGTTTTACGACTGTGAAAAGAAAGGTAATGTGTTTTTAAAAATATTCACAGATATAAAAGAAATATTATTTTTCATTAAGCATTTATATTTCATGCTAACAAAATAATTTGTCTGTATAGTGTTACTCCTAATTTCACTCATGCACAGAATAGATAATTAATTTTCACTCTATTGAAAAAAATATTCCGAGCCATTGAAAAAATTATTGCGATTTTATTCCCATAATAAAAACAGCGTAATGTATTAATTTGTTGCTGATTCTGTTGTATGATTCTTTTAATTTTTTAAAACCCTTAGTCTTTGACTGAATCTAGTCTTGAAACTAGATCAAATATAGCATCCTTACAAGTTTTTAGATAACTCGCTCGGATCAAGTTTGTTCATTTTACACCATTCAGTTTTTATATAATGACGCACTACTCAAAGTGAGTCATTATAATCAGCTTGCTTGAATTCAGATAGCTTGTAGACTATTCATTGTTTGCAGAAATAGTCTCCGCACAAATGTTAGACTATGTAGTATGCAAAGAAGAAACATCTTGTCTTATAGCAACAATATTCCTCTCTATTCATAGTCCTGAGATTGAGGTAAAAAAAATTTCAGCTAATTCTCTTCTTTATAAAATTCAGAAAAATTTTGACTACCTTATCAATACGAGTATTAAAGAAATGAACCTTTAACCTTTCTTACAAAGTCACTCTATTAATTTTTATTGGAGAAGTCTTTTTAAATCTATTCTAATGAGACAATAAAAATATGAAAAAAATTGGATAAAAATGACAACAAAACCTGACGTCTTCAGGGGGTACCAGTTCCGGAAGTCATAAAAGCAAAATCTTTTCAATCGAGAGAGCAAGACGACAGTCTAAAATTGCTTTCTCTGTACCCCAAATGTTTTGCCAAAGTCCAGGAAAAGAATATAATGCAAAATATACAACATAAAATGCATAAAGCAAATACAAATATCTACTCTGTATTTGCTTCATGTATTTTATATGTATTCCTTTTGGATTCACTGCTGCTAAGCGCATTTTTCCAATGGAAGTATTATTATCTTTAATTGCTTTGAAATTTTGAATTCTTTACTTAATAAATCTATTCTACTTATTTTTTTATGCATAGTAAGTCTTGAAATGATTGTGACCACAATTTATCATACTGAGGGTTGAGGGTCTCTGATGATTTCGTGTATAATTAACAATTTTTGTTCATTTCAGTTTAAACAATTTAATGGAGGGTTATATATTTATCTGTTTTTCTTTTTTCAGGTTTGTTATGAACATTTATTTCAGAAGCATGGCATTCTGGAGCTTGAAAACTTTTTCAAAAACCTTGAAAATACGACTACTTGGTAATGCAATATGCAAAAAACTGCATTATTTTGATTGAATAAATTTTTTGAAAGCAAATGCATTTTGAATTCACTTAATGTTCAAGTCTAAATAAGAAATTCAAAAGTTAATTACTTTGTTTTTGATGATCACCAAATTTTCACAATTTATCTGAAAGCATATTTTATATTTTAATATACATAATTTTACTTAGATTGTTACACAATTACAATTGAAAATTGAATTGAACTTGGTTCCTTGTAAAAAAAATACAGTGGTAGATAAGTAATGATAAGTGTTAATATAGAAAGTTTTGGAAAAAGTTTTCAAGCGGTGTAAATCCTCAATAAATAATATCCTCAATATAATTATAACGATTTTCTTTAATATTCCAAAAATGACAATTGTTTAGATTTTATTTCTAAGAACTATTTTTTTTTCACAATGATTAAATTAATTTATCAGTAAAAACTAAATTAGGGTCTAAAGTACTGGTGGTTCGGATGCATCCTCAGTAAATTTCATTTTAACGTATTATCCCTTTTACCGTAAAATCCATTTTTACCGTTAAATATTATACCATAATTTTCATAGTAATATCGATTTAATTAGAGTGATTCAATGATTTTTATGGTAATTATCACTGTAAAATTTACAGCATATCAGGTTTTTTGTAATGTAACATGTTTTGGTAAGAACAGATTTTACGGTAAAATGTATGGATTGGATTTTGCTGTTAGATTTGATAGATTCTGATTAAAATCGGTCCAATCCAACGAAAAATCAACCTAAATTCATCCAGAAACCCAACCTTAATCTAACCAAGAAACTAACCTAAATCCAACCAAGAAACTAACCCAATTCTAACCAAATTCAAATAAAACCCAAAGTACTCATTGGATTAATTCAATGTTTCCCAAAGTGTGGTACGCGTACCCCCAGGGCTACGGGAACTGTTTAGCGGGGGTACCAGGGTGAGTAGCCAAATTATTCAACAAGAAATAATCACCTTTTAAGCACTTTTCAAGCATTAAAAAATATTTTTAAGCACTTTGAAAAAATATCATAATGAGGCAGAGTTGGAAAGTTTTTGACAATTGACGGTTTTTTCTTGTTTTAACCGTCATGTCAAAAAAAAAATTTGGCATTGTTTTTGATAATTGTCAAAAATTATGAAATTTTGAATCGTGTAAAACGAATGGCGTTTTCATATGTGCTACGGACTGACAATAAGCCGAAATAGATAGGGTTTGAATTTATTGTGAAAACGTTGAATAGAGCAATGTAAACTGTGTCTCTTTGCATAATTTGAAATGAAAATCGACATAGTAAGGGAAAAATCTTATTTTGAAAAAGGGAAAATTAAGCACCTCTTAAAAACACTCAATGGAAAAAGCACCTTTAATGGCTTTCAAAAAACGAAAATTGAAAATAAGCTCCTTTAAGAACTTCTTAAAAACGGTACGCACCCTGGGGTACGCGTTTTTTGCGAAATATCTTGCAACATACGAAAATTTCAAACTTTTCTATTTAAAAACAAAGCTAGCCATGAAAAGTTACGATTATGTATTTTTCTATTGGCTATTTTTTGCAGACTTAACAGTTTTTAGTTAACAGTATTAGTGGTGTCAACAGCCAGTTGTGATTTTTAACTTCTGTGCAATTTTTTTACAGTAAAAATAGATTCATTTTTTATTAGTGTTACACAGCGTTACGAAAAATTTAGAAAGGGTACACAAAAGTCATAAGTTTGGGAAACACTGATGATTTCAAAATAATAATAATTTAATGCTCATTTAACAGAATGTCCTTTTGTATATCAGCATTATTATAGCCCTAATTATATAACAGAAACAATTTTAATCTTGTCCGAGTCGTATCTTAATTTTGATACTCTTCTAAACAGAATCACTTGCCCTTATCTTGGATTTACAATATTTAAATAATAAAGAAAATATTGTTGGGATATTCTCTTTGAAATATTTCTGTTTAGATTTAGTGGTAACGCGTCTGAAACTTACTGATAAGATAAGATAAAAATTTAATAAAAGAAAATTAATAAGTGTCATCATTGTGTATCTCAGCAGTCAGACTAGCTGTTGCAGATGAAACATGCGTGTCACATAAAATTTGATTTAAAATCATTCTCTGAGCAATTTATGAACTGGGTTATAAATTTGCTCAGAGAATGACAAAAATAGTTAATAATTTTCGCAGCATATTATTGTCAAGAAGTTATATCTCAGTGAAATTAATTAATCAGATTACTCATGTACAGCATCAACAAATTAGATGTATCAACGTCTCTTAATTTGTCATTTGTAAAATTTTTATGTAATGCGTGATACCGTGGTGATTAGTTCTTAGTAAGAATTGACTTATGTTATGTTATTGAAATGCACCATATATTATTGTAAATGGCATTTTAAACGATAGGGGAGAGTGGGGTCAATTGTAACAGGGTACGATTGTAACAGAGCAAAAATTTCGAGTGTCGGGTTCTAGATTTGGTTTCTAGGTGGCGCACAAGGTGTATTTAATAAATCTACATGTACACCCCTGCTGGTAACCATTTTTATGTACTTTTGAAAGAGTTGCATGACAAAAGATATTTTCACGCTACGTAAGTACTTTTTTTTGGTATTAGAATATTATATTGTAACAAAGTAATTTTGTTTAAACAAATAAAAATTATTAACCGAATATGTAAGTGGACACCTTAATTAACATTTCAATAAAAAAAAAATTAGTTTTGCTAATTAACTAGCATTGTTTTTAACAAATGAAGCTGAAATGGCGTCTTGGGGACAATTGTAACAATAAGTAAAGGGACGATTGTAACAGCTGAAAATAAATAATCTTATGTTTACAAACCATTACTTAACTCTTTAAGAACCACCAATAGTTTCCTATATCATTTATATTATGTTGCATGTGCATTATTTTATTTGTCACCTTTCACAGCATAAATTAAAATTTTTAACCCCTTAAAGTTAAAAGTTTAACCCTTTAGGTCTCTGCTCATTATTATTTTTACTCCTAAAATATCACTACTATTTTGATCAATAAAAAAATATATCACAACTATGATAATATGTATAATTAACTATGTTTTAGTTGAATTTATGAACTGTTACAATTGACCCCGTAAGTGGGGACAATTGTAACAAGTGCACGACTGTCAAAAATTGTTAATAACTAATATAATAACATTTAAAATTAGGTATTTATTTTTTTTTCTAGTAGAGGATCGTCTACTTTACTCGTCTGTCAATTAATACTAATAATATATTGGATTTTTTGTTAGTTAAAAATGGTTAAGTAAAAAATGTTACAATTGACCCCACTCTCCCCTACTCTATCGAATGACATCACCAAAGATATTATTAGATCATTTTTTTGCTTGTTGCAAAATATTTGATCAAATAACTTTCGTTCATAGTAGACTGTTAATCTAGATTTACTCATAATTTTCTTATCTTTCAAATATTTTTTTTAAAAAATTAAATAAAAAATTTAATAAAAAAATAAAAATTTTAAAAAAATTAAGTAAAAAAAAGTAAAAAAAAATATTAAATTAAAAAAATTAAGAAAAATCAAATAAAAAAATTAAATAAAAAACCTTAAAACATTTTTCTTGAAAACAGAGATAAAACAAAACATTAAATGCGTGCTTTCAAATTCATAATCATTTTCAATTTTTATTTCTTCTTCTTTTTTACAAAAGAAAAGTATATAATCTAAACTGGATATAATCTAATATATATAATTCTCTTACGTGGCTCCCAAATTTTGGCTGTATTTCTCTTCCGCTGGTGGCAACAGTTTTCATTCTTAAAGAAGTACTTTGTACAACTAAATAAGATTCTTTTCACAACACTTAAATATTTACTTTATTTTCTTCATATACACAGAGAACAGTCGGCAAAGAATTCTGTTAGGTTAAAAACCATTTCGCTAAAAAAATAGCGAATTCTAAAAGAAATAAAAATAAACAAAAATGCTGAAAAATAAAATAAAAAAGAAAAATCCTGTTGCTAGCCATGGAATTTTCTGAAAGTTAACTAAGCAACATAAATCAAAATGACATAGAAGCGCAACTAGATCAAAATTATGATACCTGAGCGTTTGACGTAACAAATCCTTCAATTCTATGAGTGTTGATGCCCAGATAATATTGAAATGTACAGGTTTAGAATTTTCTACAGTGAAAATTTTTCGGAACTTCAATATTCAAAAGCTAGACGTTAAAAATGTATCCAATGAGCGAGCATTGGATTGCAAAGTAATTCGAAATGAGATGCGAAAGCAGTTCCGTGGGTTGGCGAGCGTCAGCGAGCAGGGCGCGAAGCCTCCTAGTATAACTTATTACAAAAGTTTAACTGTTAGTTGTGGAATACTCAATCTTGACCAGAACTTTAAGCTTATTATACTCTAGCACTTCATAACCCTTTACTTCATCAGCAACTCTGTAAAAAGGACATTTATGAAACAATGTAACAGGCATTCTGATGAAAACTATTGAAACGGAAGGATGGTTTTTTACTTGCTCTGTAGTTTACATCCCTTTGACTGTAAACCACAATAGGTGCCGAGAACACCTGCGTTTGAGAGGGTGATTGAGGCGGTGAATCGCTTCAGTGGTGAATCGCGATTCAGTCCAGATGGCTACTCGAGGCTTGAGTGAACGATATCATCACCCCTCTAACAGTGTCTACAAGGACCACTATGGTAGTGGTGGTCTGATAGTCTGGGTAGTCATTTTGGCAGACGGGTATACCGATTCATGAGTTCAATATAGGTACGCTAACCGATCAGCTGTACAGGGATGAGATCCTTGTCTTATATGTGAGACTTTTCAGTGGAGCTAATGAACTAGAGTTTATTTTTATAGAAGATTACGCAAGTCATCATAGGGCTCAGTTGGTGGACGAATACCTCTATCGGAGAATATTCAGTGAGTGGAGAGGCATATGATGTCCCCTCACATTAATCACATTGAACAAGTATGGGACGCCTTTGAATGCTCTATTTCTAAAACAAGCTTCAACGACCATCAATGAGTTAAAGGGTGTCTT